TTTCCTGTTTGTGGAGGCGTTTCTTCACGGTAGACTCCTAGAAGTGATATTGCTAGCTCAAAGGGAAAATGTATTTGTCCTTTGAGGATATCTTTGAAAATAGCCTCCAAAGGGAAAGTGCCATTTTGTACTCCTCCCAGCAGTGCTCAAAAGTGCCTGCTTCCCAGCTCTTGCCAACAGTATATTGTCAAACCTCTGGGTTTCTGCCATTCAGATAGGTGAGAGTGGAATCTCAGTGGGACATTTGTCATTTAAATTAAATTACATAGACATATAAGGCCGAGAGCACTGCGAGCCCTCCTATTTGGACAACAGAAGAAATAAGCTTATTTTAGTAACCTAGTGGAAGCACCATCACCCCAGCAGGGAGAAACAAATTCTTTGTTCAAAACTCCTCTGTGATGGGAGGTCCCTGCAGGGGCCCTCTGCCTGCAGGATTTCCACTGACTCACCTTCATTCTCCAAAGCCCACCCCTGCCGGTCAAGGCTGTGCATTTGCCTGAGTGGATGGTGTGTTGTCACTGCCAAGTTTGCCTCTCCACATTGGGCTTTATCTGGCCAGTAGGGAGCTCCATCTCCCTTTGCCCTTGAGGAATCATTTTCTTCTAATCCCCTTGTTAATTGCTTTAGGTGTCCAAAGTACATTAAACAGGTGCACCACAGAAAGAGATCCTTAAGTCAGACTCCCTCCCCAGCCCATTCTGGCCTTCTTGTACTTGTCTTTAAAGATCTGACAGAGGCAATGTACTTAGTGGTTAGGCGTGCAGGCCCTGGGGCCAGACTGCCCAGATTCAAACCAAGGCTTCCCTACTCCCTAGCTGGGTGATACTGGACACTTTCCTGACCTCTTTGGGGCTGGGCGCCCTCCTCTGATCAGTGGGATAACAATAGCACCTATTTCGTAGGGTAGTTGTGAAGAGTAAACGAGTTGATTTATGTACTTAGCCTGGAGCTCAATGAGGGGCACACAGTAAACTGATGAAGGTGAGGTCCTGGTGGTGGTGGTGGTGACAGTGCTGCTGCTGCTGCTCATGCTGAGGATGTGGTAGTGATGATGGTGATTAGGAGCACACCGAGCCCTGCTGCGTGTTTGTGACCTTGAGCAAGCAGCTCGATCACCCCCATTTTGTTTCTCATTTCATCATTGGTTTGTAGCGATGGGCATAATACTGTCCATCTAAAGCGAGAATCAGCAAACTGCTGCCTGTGGGCCAAAGTCTAGCCTGCTGCCTGTTTCATTTAGTTCTTTGTTTGTTTGTTTGTTTGTTTAGAGAGAAAGGGAGAGAAAGAGGAAGAGAGAGACAGACAGACAGAGACAGAGATAATGTGAGAGCGAAACATTTATTGGCTGCCTCTTGCATGTCCCCCATCTGGGATTGAGCCCACAGCCTTTCGGTGCATAGAACACACCCAACCAACTGAGCCATACCAGCCAGGGCACTGCTGCCTGTTTTCATCAATAAAGTTTTATTGGAACACAACCACACCTGCTTGTTGACATGATGTCTATGGCTGCGTTCACAGTGCAATGGCAGAGTTGAGTAGTTAGTTGTACCTGAGACCTTATGGCCTATAAAGTAAAAAATATTTACTATCTAGCTCTACAGAAAAAGGTTATTGACCCCTGATCTACAGGAGTGGTTGTAAGGATGTGGGACATGAAGCTTGTGTAGACCTGGCACGTATTTAGGTGCCCAGTACAGTGGGGCTGCAGCAAGCCAGCATTTAACTTTCATGAACTACATGCCCCAGTCTTGTCCCCACTTCTGCTACTCTCCTCCAACTCCAAGAGGAAAATTGGAGTAATTACAATATGAATAGTTTAATTAGAAATATCATAAATGATATTTTTATCATGTAGCACACATTTCCATATGCATTAAATATTGCACATGCATACTAGTCTGTAGCAGTGGATCTGAAAGGCTGTGTCCTGGAGACTGTGCTTTGCGGGAGGTGTAAGGCTCCTTTTCAGGGGTAATTTTGATGCTGATTTCCCTTGCCTGATGACTTCAGAAGCTAACATCCAAGGAAGCAACAACTCCCCTCTGAATGGTAGCGATGCATATTATTATCTGCATCTAGAGCAAAGTAAAACTGAATGTCACAGTTTTCCTACCACCGAAAATAAATCCTGAGGCAGATAAAATCTCTCTGAAATCATAAGTGAGAGAATGATATTATAGTTAAAAAATTCAGTGCATTCACTTCTTTTCATCTCTTCCCCAGGCACACATCTGTTTTATAAAGTGAGGTACACAGGTATCATTTACATTTGGCCTTATTTATTGTTTCATGGCTGAATCTGGCAGGTCACCTTGCAAAAGGCAGAGGAACGTCCCCTTAATTTTGCAGGCAGCATATATGTTAATGTTACTCCTTCCACCTTGCTCCCTGAATTGTGAGAATAAAATGAGATCTCAGTAGGAGGATACTCAGAGAAGTTAAGTGCAGCAGCAGTAGACGGGCCTGGTGTAATCTGGTTCCTCCCATCCTTGGCAAGAAGGAGCTGTGTCCACATGGAGTTACCTGGAGGAGAGAGGGGCTCAGTGGTGTGAGGACAGGGGCATTAGATAACAAATGCATGTAATTAGAACGAATTATCTTCATTGGAAAATAAGCACATTGTTTTCCAATTTAATGAATAAAGAAGCTTCTAATTAACTCCAGTAAGGAGATTTGCTTTCATATTTCAGTAGTTAAGCTCTATGTTTTTGTATTAATATTTTGTTTTTATGACCCAGCTTAATGGTGGTTTCTTTCCCTGTTCCTTATTGGTGAAACAGAATTTTATAGAAGAAAAGCAAACCCGGAGGTAATTTAGTCTATTTTTTTTTTTTTTAAGGAAGAAAATATGGTCCAGAGAGATCCTGTTGGATCCTGTGACTTATCCAGGGCGCCCTAACTGGTTAGCTGTCCACTGGACCAGGTCCCCAGTCATGTGTCCGACCAGCACAGGAAGGACCTCAGCTAGACTCTGGGTCCGCCATGCTTGCCCTGGCCTAGCTCTGCTTCCTTCCTGCTCCCTACCCTCGCTCTGGGCCTTACTTGGCCCTGCTGGCATCGTACTCGCCTCAGAACTACTTCCGCTACTAAAAACCTCCTTCTCTGTCCCCTGGCCACCAGCCCACGCTGTCCCGTTCCAGGTCCAGACCTGTCCCTTAGCTCCTGGCTCTGCATTACATGGCCTGTATTACCTGGTGTGTCCCTCCTCTGACAGCCAGAGCAAGTGATTGTGGGAGCCGTCCACCCTGGCTCCTGCCCCAGAGCCTCAGAGGAAGGAAGTTGGAATAAAATTGGCCTAACAACTCATATCACTTGATCCCTATATCCTGGACTCTTTTCTAAAAATAAAACAATATAAAAATAAACAACTTTATTTTTTAGAGCAGTTTAAGGTTCATAGCAAAACTGAGTAGGAAGTACAGAGAGTTCTCATATATCCCCTGTCCTAACACACCTACAACCTCCGCAACTATCGCCACCCCCCACCACAGTGGTATGTTTTCCTAGGCTCTTTCTCATCCCTAAATCCTGGGTTCTTTGTCTTAAGGCAAAAAAAGGAAAAAAGAAAAGGAAAGAAAGACAATACACACAGAATAGTCTAACTGGCTCTCTGTGACCACAGAGGCAGGCATGCAGTCAGTTTCAGCTAAGTCCGTTCTGTCTTGTCATTCTCTTAGTCTGTCCCAAGGCTGGCTGGTCACCGTGTCAAAGCTCACACACAGATAACCCAGAGTCTAGCTGAGGTCCTTCCTGTGCTTTGGCCCCTTGAGTGTGGCTCTTAACCCGTCTCTCAGAACCAATTCCAAATTCCCGAGGCTGGGATTCTGATTGGCTGCAGCTGGGGCAGGGTCCCACCCTGGGGATGGGGAGGAGAAGAACAGAGAAGGAGGCAGTTTAGGGTGTCATTACGGCTGAGCAGATAACCCCAAAGATGTTTACCAAGCCATGATACTGTCTAATCCATGGTCTCCTGAGAAGTCACCAGGTGTCTCTTTTCTAAATCCTTTTAAATATTGGCCCCAGAGTTTGCCCAGAGGTTCATCTTTGGGCTTTAGCTCTTCCCTTATTCTTACCTGCTTAGAAAGAGCAACATGTTACTCCTTCCACCTTGTGCTTTATTGCCCGCTGGGAGCCCCACCCCCATCATGCCCCGGTCATGTGTAGACCCACTGGAAGTGACCATGTCCAATGGTCCCCATCTCTTGCCTCTCAATAGGTCATCACTAAGCCTTCTTGCTCCTGCCTTCTGAGTGCTCTTGGCTAATGGGACATGTGGCTGTGGCATCCTCACAAATAGCCACTCGAGGGTGGAGTTGGACAGTTTGGGAGACGCCTTGACAATGTGCAGGGACTCTCATTTTCTATTTTAAAACCAAGGCAATCCATTAATTTTTCATTAAGGAATTCTTTTATAATGGACACTGCCATAAAAGCTCTGCATTTAGAACAGCCTGTTTAAACATTCTGGTGTCGATCTGTTGAATTTATGCATGCCTTCAAGTGTTAGGCTTCCCGTTTTCTGAGATAAGCAACAATTTTCTCTGAAATTGCCCATTATGTGAAATGCGGGGATTCCTGCTAATTCCCATCTGTATCATCACCTGTGTCCAAGTTTGGGGTTTGGTGCAGCACATCTGAGGTTATGTGTATGCACAGTGGAAGGCATTTTATAATCCAAACAATTTAATAAAAATGCAATTCGACTGGGAAAACTAGAGGCTGTGGGCTCTTGCAGAGTGCAGATAATGCTCCAGATTAAAGAGCTGAGCTTTGTTCATTAAAGTCAAGTAACATGTGTGAATTAGCATTTCCTTGCCGTTGCTTTATTTCAAGAGTATACCATTTTCCCATCATAATAATAGGCTACATTTTCTTAAAATCATTTGATTATGATTTTCTTGCCTATCCAGTTTGCAAATAAAAAGCGTTTGTGGTGATAAACTAGCTGTTTTAAAACAGCCTTAATCTCTGGTTCTGCTTTTGAACTGCTACAGGTCAGACTCTGCGAAAGGCTGAGAGAAGCCGGTCCTGCTCTCGGGAGAACAAGGAGGTAAATGTGTCACTGGCGAGGGCTGGTGGGAGGCAGCTCCTTGAAGGGACGGGGGAGCAGGGTGGGGACTAAGTATTCCTGGCTCTCCTCTCTGAGTCGCAAGCTTGAATCCCTGACTAAATAATAGTTGGTAACTAGAGTTATCAACCAGTGTCACTTGTTGGTAATAATCTCTTGTTGAATGTGTCAATTAGCTTTGTCTGTGTAACAAATCACTGTAACTTAAAAACAGCCATGCATTTATTCATAATTCTGTGGGTCAGCAGTCTGGGCGAGGCTTACCTGGGCAGGTCTGCTGATGGGCCAGGTTCTGCTGACCTCAGCTGGGCTTACTTATGCATTTGTCACTCACTGTTGTCACCTAGGGCTATCGGTTAGAATGCTTTAGTTCTCCTCCGATGTTCTCTCATCCTCCAGCAAGCTAGCCACATGGAGGTTCAAGACTTCAGAGTTTGAATGGAAGCGTAGGACCTCTTGAGTCCTAGCTCAGAACTGGCATGGTCGCTTCTGCCACTTTCTGTTTCTCAAAGCAAGTCACAAGGTCAGCCCAGATTCAAGGGGTGGGGAAATAGGTCTCACTTCTTTGAGAGGAAATCTACAAAATATTATGGCCATTCTTGAAATCTACCATTCTGAACCCATCTGCTCTGTGCCAGGCACCAGCTGGGAACTAAGGCATGGGTGAGACAGTCCTTGATCTCAGGATGTGCAACAGATTATAATACAGAAAGTGCCCATATAGTGAGAGAAGGGCAAAGAAAGTAGAATTTCAATACACAAAGGGGGTCACCTAACTCTGCCAGTGATTATTAAGAAAGACTATGCAGAAAAGCCGATGTGTAGGCTGCCTCCTAAAGGGTGAGTAGGAGATTTCCAGGCCAAGTAAAGGGCACGATCAAAGTCACAGAGACACGAATAGGAAAGCGGCAAGATCATTGAGCCTGAGATGGGAAGTGGTGCAAGGACTCATGGGTTACGCAGGGAGGTCTCAAACTCAGGGGAGTTAAAATTTGAGTCTTAATAGTGGCATATGGGTGCAGGGGTATGAAGGTGTATAGCTTATCATAAATATCAACCAATCCTGAAATTCATGAACACTTGGGTACTAACATTCTTGATTGTAAAGTGACACAGTTCTAAGGGAATTTCTTAGGCTCAGCTGGGCCCAGGGGCTCAAAAATGGCCACAAGACTTGGTTTTTCTCTTTGTACGCGTGGCTCTGCTTCCTCTGTGCTGGCCTCCCCCTCAGTCAGCTCTGAGGAGGCAGGTTGGGTTTGGACACCCCATTTACTTTGTTGTGACTTTCATCCTCTCCTCCTTTTCTCAGCTGCAGCCAGAACAACCAGTGTGGGTTTTCTTCTTATTCGATCAACCTGCCTGGAATGAGGGCTGGGACATAACTTGGGAAGTTTGATGCTGCTGGAATGATCTAAATAAATGTCGGCTCCAGTGGGCAATCTAGATGCTGAGCAAGGGTGGATTTTCCTGCTCCTCTCTGGTAGGGAGATTTCTCTGGAAGCAGGCGCAGGTGTGCTCGTCTCCTGCAAAGAATGGGAGTGAGCTCTGGCCTGCACGCACCTGGTCTTCCTCTGCGAAGTGACCAAGGATGGTGACCGGCCCTGCTCAGCCAGGAATGAATGGTGTAAACCTAACTGATGTCTTAGGTTACGGAACAACAGCATCCCATTCATCCACATTAAGAAGTTCGCTGGGACCCCAGGAAGCAGGGAGCAGGTAACCAGTGGAAACACTCTCCCTCCCCACTCTCCCTGGCAGCAGGACCCCCCTAATTGCCACTTTCCCGGCTAGGCTACTCCCATCACATCAGTTGCCTGAGAGCATTTCAGATCACACTCCTCTTCTGAAAGTGAGGGAAAATAGAGAATGGGGTTGTTTATCACAATATTCAACTTTCACCCTGAAAGATATTTATGGTAAGAAGGCTTTGGGCCCTCTGAAAAAGAGGGTGCTGACTCTCAAATAGGGCTTTTGCTTGGTCAGAAAAATAAGAGAAAGAAATTAATGCCATGCTGCCAGTGAAAGGGCGAGGGCTACGCCCTCCATCTTGCCCCGAATCCTCCAATTTTGGGCAGCTCAGCAAGGAGCTTCTTCCCGGAAGCCCAAGCCTCTGCTAGCCACACCTAGGATTTCTTTAAACTAACCAATGATAATCAAGGGAAGTGCGCGCCATAGATATGACCACATCCTGTGTAACAAGACACCAACTTGCGCCTGGCCAATCGGCAGGGCCCACAGTCCTCTCTTCTCCCCTTACTCCAACCCCCCTATAAAACCCCTCTCCCCACAAAGCTCTCTCTCTCTGCCCCCTGCCGCTGCGTCGGCGAGTGTGGTGGACGGAGAGCTCGAGCTAGCTCAAATAAAGACTCTTTTTGTTTTTGCATCGGACCTGGCTGGCTCCCTGGTGGTCTTTTGGGGATCCTGGAATCTGGGCATAACACCAGGATGTTCATCCTGATATGTCATAACAGGCCTTTTCCATCCACCTCCTCTTTCTGCATCACCTCTCCCCCCACCCCCCACCCTCCCCAGTCTGTGGAATCTGCACCTCCTGATGCGCTGTGCCTTACACAGGATGCCAGGTGTAGACAAGCTCTGTCCCCATGAAAGATGAGAAAAAGACATGCTGGTGAGAACAGGTAGATGACATATGGCGTGTTTCTTGGGCGGTGAGGTTATATGGGCCTCCTTACACCTTGGCCGGAGAACACATGGTTTCCATGGGTACTTTTCTGAGTGTTCAAGGGCCAACACGGCAAAGGAGGATGGGCAGCTGTTCTCAGTGAGCTTGCCAGGCCCAATTCAGCCCAAAGATTGTTTTATTTGGCCCATACTCTATTACAATTTTTTAGAATGAGGTGTCCACATTTAAAAATGGGAGATTTCACGTAAAAATGCACACCTCTGGCTTCTTTGGAAAAGTGGAGAATGACAACAGGTCCTTGTTCCTTTATGGCAACAATGGCCATGGCTGCTATTGAGGATGTGCCCCTTTCAGGAGAGCCCTCCAGGCTGCCTCCCTGCCCCCGTCTCTGCTCTACAGCAAAGGGGTTTCAGCAGCTGCATTGCAGGCCCCATGCTGAGTGCTTAATGGCAGTGGTTCACAAACGTTGCTGGCCACGGAATCACCTGGAGCTTTTCTATACCCTGATATCCAGGCCTCTTTCCAGAGCAGTTAAAGCAGAATCTCTGGCAGCGTGATCCAGGCATCCGAGTTTTTTAATTTCCCCAAGTGGTTGTGATGGGAAGCAGGCGTTACAGGTGGTAACTAACCCCAGGTGCTTCCCTGCACACCCCCTGCCAGCCTGGCTGGAGGACTCCCCTTTTCAGGATGGCAGACATCACAGAGGAGACCCAGGGTGCGGGGGAGGGAGAGAAGACTTCCTGGAAGAGGCATCTTGAGCTGAGGCTTCGGAAGGGTTAGAAGCATTTCTGAAAAATGTGTCTTTGATGGTTGGCTTCAAGTCGGTAGAGACTTCCATGTAGCTGGTAAAAGTATTCTCAACAAGTATTCATGGTTCCTGCCTGTGGAGATTATATAGTGTTTATGGCCCTTAGTCATGAATTATTAATGATTTTGAAATTGTGGCCATTGTAGTTTACTCAGAAATCGTTAGGAAGTAAATTTATCATGCAGTGTTTTTAAAGGAAAGGAAACCACAGAGGAGAAAGAAATCTTTATTCATCACCCCCCTGCCCAGTGTTCACACTGGTGCCCAGCGGCACCGGGGCTTGTGGGTACGGCACTGGGAACACGGCCTTCTACTCACGGAGGCAACTGTGAATTAGCCCCACCAGGTGCTTCTGCAGCCAGCCCAGTCATGTGACCTTGGACAAGTCTCTTGACCCCTCTCCTCACTTGATAACACCCACTATGGCGACTGGTTTGCAGCGTAAAGGCTGCAGTGTTCTGAAGCACCTGGTGTAGTGCCTGACCCATAGTAGGCATTCCATAATGTTAGTTACATAATGTTCATCATTCCTTAGAATGTCTAGTATTTAACCGAGAGAGCCATGTCCTTGGACGAAGAGGCAGCGTAACTGTACTTCTTCTTTTTTTAAAATCTATTTCAGAGTGGAAGTGAGAGGGAGAGAGAGATAGAAACATCAATGATGAGAGAGAATCCTTGATCGGCTGCCTCCTGCACACTCCCTTCTGGGGATCGGGCCCACAACCCGGGCATGTGCCCTGTCTGGGAATTGAGCCATGATCTCCTAGTTCAGTGGTCGGCAAACTGCGGCTTGCGAGCCACATGCGGCTCTTTGGCCCCTTGAGTGTGGCTCTTCCACAAAATACCGACTTCTGCGCATGGGCCACGAAGTTTCAATCGCACTGTACTTGCGTGCCCGCATGTGGTATTTTGTGGAAGAGCCACACTCAGGGCCAAAAAGCCGCATGTGGCTCGCAAGCCGCAGTTTGCCGACCACTGTCCTAGTTCATAGGTTAACGCTCAAGCACTGAGGGGCACAACTGCACTTTTTACTGAAGGGGTCTCCCTTGCATCCCCCAGGCAAGTGGGCCCCAGCCAAGTGAGCTCTGTCCCCCCGCCCCCCAAACCTCTCTCAGTGCTGCCTGAGATGATGGACTGCCTTCTTTTGTAACTGATTGGAGATGCGGAAAAAACCTCTTGACAGCACACTCATCTACTGGGCTCACTCTGTAGAGGACTGCAAAAGTCATTTAACTCAACCACCTAGGAGAGATTTAGCTTTCCTTTTGCATGCACACACATGCATGCACGTGCACACACATGTGCACGCATAAACACTTCCTGTTATTAAGCAGAGACTCCTTTCAGATCTGCCAAACGAAATAGGAGATTGGATCTTGGCAACACATCCAAGGAGGGAGTCCGGGATCCAGGGTGCGTCCAGCGTGGACACACCTCTGGTCCCGTCTCATCTCTGCGCCTCGTTGTCTTGATGCACCTCTCTAATAGTTGTTCCTTCTCCAGTCCAGAGGCCAGAGAGAGTCTGATTGA